TTCTCTCATCTGAAGTACTGCTACTATGTACTGTAATTATATTGTATGTGTAAGTAGTATTGAAACCTTGCAGATGATCCTGTAGACCAACTTCCCTCACGGTCAGTCCATGCAGAAGAACATGCTCAACTATAGTGCTTTGTATTTCATCAAGAACAAATTAAATTGGACCCCACCCCCTTCGTTTTTATTTTCCCCTCCAATTCCTCTTTGTCTCCCACTACCAGGATTCATTTTCCAAAACACATAATCAGCTGTGCTCTTGTTCATATCATCCTGAGGTTCTGACATGTGTGTCATCAGTTTTGCTACTTAATGTTCACACAGGGATAAATGTGTGCTGTTTGAGTTCATTTTTTGATGCTTGAGTTAATTATATTGTGTGTTTGTGTTTTCTAAATGAGAACATGGTTAAACCTGTGCAAAATGATGGCATTTTTGTGTAGTTTTGCAGAAAACACTGAGCAAATTGGAACGTGTGTGCAAACAGGTGAAATGTGTTAAAAGTTTTGAGAAACGTGTCTTTGTTTCGAGAACTGTATGAATGGTTTGGAAAATTGGGCCAAATGAATCCGTTATAGTGTGTTAGCAATCGAGAAAAACTGTAATACATTTTAATGGCCTTTTCCATATTCTGCCTGTCCATTTCATTATCATCTTTTAATTCCACTGTTTTTTTTTTTCATTGCATAAAGTCATTTTAACCACTCTGTGACCCTTTCACAGTCATCGTTTTGTCACAGAGAGTGAGTGAATAAGATGAGTGTTTGGACCACTATAAGAGAGCATGAAAGCAGTTAGAAGTCCTCCCTTCCACTCTTTATGTCGTCACATAAGATGTCTATTTTGCAGAGGATGATGGGAGTATGGGAGAGCAGGCGCCTGATGTTGGAGCCTCTGGCCCAAAGCCCAGCTTCAGCAGGCTGGGAGCACTGGCCGACACCATCTGCAGACGGGCGTTTGAGAAGACAGCTGCACAACTCCAGCGCTCCAAAGGTCAAGGTCAGGGACTGGTCACACAGATCCCTGGCGTGAGTCCCCTGGTAAGTAGCAAACAGCATTCAAGTGTTAGTTTGTCCTTCCAAGAACAAAATGTGGCTTCAGCGTTGAGCACATGTTCTTTTTTGAAGTGTTAGGTTATGTAATTATGTTGAACTCTTCATAGAGCCCACATCAAATTAAGGCCCATCTGTGTTGTACGTCTCCTTCATTTTGGAAACCGCTGTTGCGCATACCTCTCGCTCAATTAGTACACCAAATTACTATGATTCCACACCCTGCCAAGCCAGCAGACCCAAACAGAGAGCCCAACTCAGCACATGACCCAACACATGCATTCACCTTTTTGCCATGCTGTAGCAATGTTATCAAACTGACAGTTATAAACACCGTTGTAAGGACTGATCAAGCCAGGGATTTTCAAACTGGGGTCCGAAGACCCCAAGTGCAACACAAGGGGAGGCTAGGGAGTCTGCAAAAAGAGTTAAGAGAAAAAAATAAATAATAAATAAAAAACACAAAAAATATCAGAAATTATACTGACAAATAAGAAGCATGTCAACCTCTATAACAGTACAAAGCACATAGTTGACATAATGATGAGCACTGTTCAAATAGTGGCTACTGGCTGAAAGGCCATGTGACTTGTGTAATAAAACATTGCCAACAGTTAAGTTTAAACTGAGATTGTAAAGAAATGGTCTGTACAAAAGTCAAAGAGTCAGTGTCATGCTGCTATTGTCTTTCCTATGTTGCTAAATTAGTCTCTAATGTGCCATTAATATTTTGCAACAATTAACATTTACTCCCTGATGTCTGGTTCATCCTGCCTAACCAATACCAACTTCTAGTGAGTTTTTCTATATCAGTGTGTTCACCATGTTGGCGTTTATAAGGACAAGTTATTGCTGTATTTTTCAATTCATATCCAACACCAATAGCCATTTTTGCACTGTAGAAATGTTGGTGTTTGTTGGGTCACTGTGAATGAGCATTTAAAATGTTTCTGGGTCTAGAGGGAAATTTGAGTGACGTCCTAGATTATGATCTGTGGAAATTATATCTGGGACATATTCTTATTATGCAGCCTTTTCTGCTCAGTTTGCTCAGATATGAAAGATTTTATGGTAACAGTTTAAACAATGTCTGTGTTGTCTACAGTACTGTTCAAACGTTTGGGGTCAGTCAGAAAGTCTTATGCTGATTTAGTGCACAAGAAACATTATTATTATCAATGTTTGTTCTGTTGGTTGTACTGCTTAATAATATTTGTGGAAACCGTGATTTTTTTTTTTTAGGATTATTTTAAAAATAGAGTTCAAAAGAACAAAATTTATTTGAAATAAAAAAATACTGTTACTTTTGATAAATTTAAATGTGTCCTTGCTAAAAAATAATGTATCAGATTCTTTAAAAAAGTGTGTGTGTGTGTGTGTGTGTGTGTGTGTATATATATATATATATATATACTGTATATACAGGTGGAGCTGGGGAAGGTGGAGGGTTTTTGAAGCACACTGCAACTGCTACAGCAAGCACTAGTCATATATTTGAATGTTGAGCAGCGAGCTCATTGGCTACCCATATAAGAGAGAACCAATCAGCTGTAACATGTGATAATGATGTCATTATAATGTCAGATTGAGTTAGACCTATCGGACTGCGCCATCTAGAGTTTCATGCCAGAACTTTGTATATATATTGCATGCACAAAACGTATCGCCTGTACAAAAACAAAATTAAAACAGTAAATATAAAATTTGCAAAAGTTGATTTTGTCTTTTGTAAGGTTGAATATACCATGAGGACTGTGAAGACCATAGGAAGTGTAATACTGGGTCTGCCGAGCTCTGTGGCACTGTTTCTGAAAGATGCACAACAGCACAATTCTCTGAAGGAGATGACCAGTAATGAGTTTGAGCAGCTAGAGGTTAGTGAGATTTTTTTTAGCATCACTAAATCTGGTCATTTAAGACAGATGTAAATAATTACCACTTATATCAGCTCAAACTATTGGCCTTTTAGGTTTCACGTTAGTTCTTAAAAATTTAACTTGAAAACTCTATTTATGTCCCTTAAGCTTAAAAAAAAAAAAAAAAAAAATTTTTTTTTTATTTATAATTATTTGTGTTCACTGAAAAGTGTGAGTGAAAAGGTTTCACTGCCATTTTTCGATGCAGAAATACCATTATATGGTATTATACCATTATACCATTATAGTAATAACATTATATAACATTCATACCTCCCATTAAACTTATACAATTTTTTGTTTTATTTAGTTTTGTTTTGTGATATACTTTTAGAAATTTCCCAATTTGATCTACTGTATGAATTTGTTCATACAGTGTACAGTACGATATACTGTTGAATCTTAAGGTGTGGTCCAAGTTTCCTCTGTTCTTCGAAAGTTTACTGGCAAAATTGTGTTCAAGTTGTTGACTCAAATTCGTTGTGTTGACCAAAAGAAAGCTGATTTGTGTGAATGTGTCTTATGTGTGAGCTGTGCTTCATACATCACTACACTATTCACAATAGACAATAGACCTTTTTTGCCTGTGAAATTTGCTTAAATATTGCATAAATGTGAGATTTAAGCAATATTACGCAACACTTGTTGCTAGCGGTCCTGGCAAGAAACCATTCTGTAAGTACACAGACCTCCATAAAAGCATAAGAAAAATGTTGGATTGTTTGTTTGTTTAATCTTCCTAATACACTCATATGAAGATGCTTGTACACATATAGTACACATATAGTATATTTTCTCTTGCAGAGTAAGGGGCTGCCGAGGCTGGTCAATGGATTAGGGCAGAAATTATTGAAGGTCTGTGGGTCTGTGGTGGCTTATGTAAAGAAACCCCATCAAACCAGCTTCAACCTTTCTTATTATGGGCTGGTGAGTGAGTCAATCATCCTCAGGTTTGATTTGATTTGGTCCCTCACGTGCTTTGTACTGTCTGGAATCTAGCTCACGTGGACTCTTCACATGTGCATAGACCCCCTTCAACACAAACAAACACACACACCTCAAACTCATCATGCTACTGTGATCACACACCCAGCTCTGCATGTCAGGGGATATTTCCATTATAGATTCTGTCTAGACTGAGAGCAACATTGAATTGTTTAAATAAATTATGACCTTTCTTCACAACTGTGTTAGAGCATCTTGCAGTTTTTCTCAATCTCTTTGGCTTTATTCTTGAGTGAGAGTTTTTTTCTCAAAACAATACGTTCTAAACAATTAGTTTCTTGTTCACATTAGATTTGATTTAAGCAAATTGCATGTGTTTTGACAAATTGGCACATGTGTGCAAAAAAAGAGTAAGTACAATTTTCTACAATTTGCACAATAACTAAATTCACATGGCTTGCTGATCAAAACTGACATGTTGATTCACAGTGAAATTGTCAAACTCTTCAAAACTTCTAAACATTCTTTCATTTTGTGAGTCATCACATGCAAAATGATCCATTCATTTATCAAAATCTGTCAGACGTGTATGTTCCATAAATGTCTGACATGGAATGTTTGTTAGGGTTTCAAAGGCATGGAAAACCTTGCGGAGAAGCAAAATTGGGTTAAAGGGTTAGAATAGAAATTGTGCTTTAGTAATTTTGCGTTAATTGTGTTAAATTATTTTAACGCGTTAAGGATTGTAAAATTAATTGCATGCATTAATGCGTTAACGATGACAGCCCTAATATATATACACCCCACCAAACCCACAGCACGCTTTAGGGGGTCTGTTAAAACTCAATGGGCTCAGGGGAGGCGAGAGAGAAGCGGACTCCTGCTGTAACTTTACCTGCATAGTGTCGCTGTTGGACAATGTTTCTTTAGAAAAACGAGTGATTTATACACTTTTTAATGTTATATTTTGTAATATTGGCGTTGTTTTATTTTTGTACTACTCATTTTTTCTTATCCAATATTTTGAAGATATAAAAAAAAAAAACACCATCACCAAAAAAAGGGCACTTCGGAGTGTAAGGGCAAAAAGGGCATGTGCTCTGCACAGGTTGAGCCCTACCTGTGCACGTGCCTGTTAACCGTAACCGTACTTGCCATTGTAATGAAATTGGAATCACAATTTTGCTGTATAAATACATTTATATTTATACAGTACATTTATATGTAGAAATGTGTTACTTGTAAATTGAAAATTTACAGTTGCTCATCGTGGAAGAGCAGTAAGAAGATAAGTAAGAATGTGTGGTGTAGGGATTCCACAACTCTTCAATATAATATTGAACTTTGTGTATTGCATTTTTTTTTTTTCCGGTTTTGCATCTTTTGCAGCATCTGTTACATGAACCCTGTGTTTTTACTCCACAACATCATTCAAATGTTTGAAATCACTTCCTTTTGTGATCTGATGTGGCTTCTTATCACAGAATGAGGCAGAAAATATATTCTTGTATAGTATAGAAAGCAGTCTGTCAACAAAAAAATGTAAAATATAACTAATATGAAATGAAATTGCATATAACAAAATGAAATTTGCATATACAGTAACACAAAATTAAATGAAATTAAATGAAATTTGCATATAACAAAACATTTATAAACGAAACATTTTGACTAGTGTGGCTCACACAGTGACAAACACTTTATTTTGGTGGCATTGGCTAAGGTACTGACACAATAACTAGGTTTTGAAGCATAAATTACATGTTTTGCATGAGTTACTACATTTTGCAGGCATGCAATAGAGTTCTAGTAGAGAAAATTTAACTTAAGAGAATTTAAGAGAAGTTTAGCAAACTTTTTAAAAGTACTTACTACAGAAATAATACTAATATATATATATATATATATATATATATTAAAAAGGTAAGTAAAAAGAAAGGAGATATTTGTTTTAGATTAACAATTTATAAATGCATTTTTTATCTGATTTGCTTTTGAGGAATACGTCAGGCCTAGGCTCTTTGCAAAAAAAAATAAAAAAAACAGCCACATCGGCTTATTTTTTAGAGACTGAGTGACTGTGACAAAGATTAATTTCACTCTTCAGTCTTGAGAACTTCCTGTGTT